CCATGTTCACTGATACTGGGGGAAACGAGCCAAACTGGATAGCTGGCTGTACCTATTTCCCCTCTTGGTCACCTTGGTCAATTACCTCAGAAACATCCTGCATGTTGTATTCTGGTATTTCATTGCTAACAGGTTCCTTCGAATGATTTTTCTTGGCTGGTTTTCCAATCAGAAATGTTTGCTCGGCCATGAAAGCTTCGAACATTTCTTCTTCCACCATTTCTTTCTTTTGGCTTATGCCAATTTCTTCTTCCGTTTCGCTACCACTCTCCATCAGAGCTTTCTCCATCCCTGCTAGGCTATCCTTCTCTCTGAATTTTAGTTCAGAATGAACCTTGGCCAACCGTTCTCTGCTGCAATCCACCTCATTCTGTAGAACTGGCTTTGGATTATGGTCTAACTTTCGGTTCTTCTTTTCTCCAGTCTGGATCACTGAAGAACTCTCTCCACTTTCTTTCAGGTCCTTCTGGTATTGGGTGTACCTACGCTGAATTTTACTCTCGATGATGGTGATCATTTTCTGTCCTTCGTGAAGCTGGCCCAAGGGGCCAATTCCTGGTTTTGATCCGAAAACCTGAACTCTTCTCCAGTCTTCTTTCAGAATGACTACTCTCCATTCTGTAATAGTTAGGTGACCTGGTCTCGTATAAGGGCCTCTTGCCTTTAGCATGCATTCTATCAACTGCAGGCTCAACCACTAATGGCTGCCACTTAACATTAGCCGGATACGACCTTTTATTATAAGCATGGGTTGGTTTGGGACGCCTCTGCACATCCCTGTAGTATTGCTTCCCATTAACTGGAAGGCCTTTCAACCACTTATAACTCAGCCTGCACTTGGGACACATCCTTTGCATTACGACTGCTTCTAAGGAGTCATCATCCAATGCTTCTTCATCAGAGTCTTCCCTCTGATGTGAGAAATCTCGTCCAATAGCTGGTGGATTTCTAACGTATTTTTTTATTGCTGTCTGGTTGGCCACATGCATCTGTACATTGACTTCTTCCAATTCTTTCAAAGACAGGTTCTGAAAGTCTAACATAATGACATTGGCTGCCACCTCTCCAATTTCTGGAAATGGATTGCTATCGATCCGCATGGCTTTTTCAGCTTTGGCTGGGAACTTCAAACTCCCCTTCCGAATTTGTTCTTGGATCCTGTCTCGGAAAACAACACAGTTTTTAGTCGAGTGAGATCAAGAATTATGCCATTTACAATATACTCTTCCTTTAAGTTCATCAAGAGATGGAAGTTTAACCCCTTTTGGTAACTTAAGGAAGTTGGCCGCAAGCAAATGATCAAAAATGTCATCTGCCTTAGTTAAATCGAAAGAATATTTCCTTTGGAGATCTTTCTTTTTAAACTGCTGGTCAATTGTCGTATCCTTATGAATTAATGCTTCACAGATCATAGGCTCTTTTCCCACAATCTCTGCTGCATCAATCTCATAATTAGGATCTTTGTAGTATGTCCTATATGATGCATTATTTCGATCTTGTTCCTCTTCTAGTAATGCTTCATATCTAGATACTTTGTAAGTCAGTTCCACTAAATCTCTAAACTCTGTTAAATCAAACTTCTTTCGAAGCCTGAACTCTAAGCCATTTTGGGCCAATCTTACGAATTCCGTTTCTGGCAAGATTACTCTACATTTATTTCGAGCCCTCTTAAATCTGGAAATAAACTAAGTAGCCTTCTCTTCAGGCCTTTGACTCAATCTTGCCAAGTCTGCCATGGAAACTTCTGGCTCTGATTGGAAGAATTGGGCATGAAATGCCTCTTCCATTTGCTGCCAAGTCTGAATGGAGCCAGGTGGAAGGTTAATGTACCATACAAATGCTCTCCCAGTTAGAGAATTTGGGAATAGTCTCAACTTCATATAGTCATGATTGGTAAATTCACCACATTGAGCGGCAAATCTAACAATATGCTCTACTGTCGATTGGTTTCCGTTCCCATGAAAGAGGACAAAATCTGGTATCCTGAAACCTCTTGGATATTCATGTACCCTATCGACCCATTCTGTGTATGGTTTTCTATACACAGGAGTTTGGACCCCCCGAGCCATTGGTCCACACAACTCCCTAACTATCTCAGTAATTTGGTCTCTAGGGACCTGAACCACTACTGGGGAAACAAACACAGGATTTGGTGGACAAACTTGTGCTTGTGGTCCCCTTGGTCCATAAGGTGGTACATTTGGGGCTGGCTGTCCCTGTGGTACAGGTTGCTATTGGGGGTGTAAGTAACCTCTTTGAGCTTGTCCTACGAAAGGACCCACGAAAGGTGCTGGAACAGGTATTGTATCCCTTCCACTTGTAGGCTTCCATTTGTAGGAAAACCTTCCAACCCCCCGTGTATAAATTCGAATAAGGGATTATTGTACCCCTTAGTGCCAGGTATGGCTTCGAATGTGGGATTTGGAACCATTCTTATGCCATTTTCTTGTACTGCGCCAGATCCATCAATTTGCATGGCTTCACTGTTAAACATTGCGGCATTCTGGCCTGCTACAGGCCTCGAAATGGGTTCGTACCAAGACTGAGGTGGTAATCTTTCATGAATCTGATTACTAGTTTGACCATTAGAATGTCCATTAGCTTGCATAGGCTGTTTATCTCTAGCCAATCCTTGCTGAGGGACATTTACTTCCTCCATGTGTCTTACATTTGTTGGTTGGTGGTTATTTATTCGATCCAAAAAGGATACTGCCCACCTTTCTATTGTGTTTATTAATTGCTGTCCCATAGCATCTACTAAGCCGCCCCACGGATTGACTGGCTGAGTAGATGGGACACTGGATGGTCCAATTCCTTGGTCTCGTCCACTATTGCGAACAAATGATATTTGCTCTGAAGTATTGGTCTGTTCGACCATGGGTTCCAATAAGATAGGAGTCTCCACAGGATGTGTTATCACATTATTCTCTGGATTGGATATCTCCACCTCTCCTTCCACGCCTTCTTCCAAACGTTCATTTTCTCCTTGTCTCCTACATCTAGCCATTTTTTGAAGTGTCCCACTGGGCGTGCCAAAAATATATGTTGGCTTTTTGGCTTTCGAATGTTATTTTCGTAATTATGAGCGTGCCAGCAAGGATCAATCAGTCCTTACAGAATTGTAATTGCCAACCAATTATTCAGACGATTGTGTTATGGTTCTTTTAGCCTCAATAAAGAGGACTTTTACTGGTGGCTTACTTTAAGCATAAGAACAGTTAAATAAATTGAAACATTTCATTAGTATGAAAAACTTACAATGATCTCAGCCTCGTAGAAATTTACAGCGACAATATACTTGAAAACTACTCCTACAAATGAAGTGTAGTGCAGGAACTCAAAGTACAGAAATGTAAAGAACAGGAAATAAAACTGGAATATGTAAAGTAGGACTGGTTTTCTTTTAGATTTTTTCCGTCCCCTTCTCTGAAGTCCTTCCTGCTATTTATACTCTCCGAAGATAACCATCGAACTGTATTTCAAACCGTCGAACTGCTCCTCCGTGATCGCTGATCATGCTACCTTATAAGTAGTTCCACTACGCCTTCACTTGCAGTTAGGCTTCCCTCCTATATTCGAATTTGAATGTGAGCAACCGTTGAAGCCACGTCACCGTACATCTCTTTGTTGATCCGCTGCTACTCAGATCTTATAACAACCAATATGAACTGCCACGTGTATGATCAGGATCGAAGACCTGACTGGTCTCCCCATATTACCCTTACTTTGCCACGCGTCGAATTGTCACTGGCTGGCACAAAACATGTAGCCAACACCCCCTCAACAACATAGTCCTCTGGGATACGATTTGCCAAATTATCTGCAACCTTAAGAAGAGTATGTTGATCATTTTCTCCCCTAGTGCACCAAACAGAAAGAGATGGCATGATGAGTACATTCACTAATGTATTTCCTACCGGATGGGTGAAGGTAGCAGCAGTAATCAAGCTCAACAATCTGAATCTCAAGATGCACCACGTCACTCATTTTGGTGAGATGAAGGTAGCAGCAACAATCAAGCTCAACAATCTGAATCCCAAGATGCACCACGACACTCATTTTGGTGGTGACATTATGTAATTTTAGTAGTAACATTATGTAAAATGTAATTTCTGTTATTTGTGAATTGTGCTATGATGTTATGTACTTTGTCAAGTTCTTCCATTAAGGATGTATATTTCTTTTAAACTATTTGAGTTAAAATGTACATATGCTTTCACAAATATAATAATTAAAAATAATTTTATACATCTAAGTCCAATAAATGAAATTTTTGCCACAAGTGTAATATAGATTTATGACATATTAAGTCATTAATTATTGAAATAAAATATAAAAAAAATTATTTTCTAGTGATTTAAAAATATAAAATATATTAGATCATACTTAAAAATTATCAAAAATTTATCAAAGTTTATTTTAAAATCCAATAAATATAATTTTGAAAAAAAAAATATACGTATCGGTAAATTTTTTACAAATTGTGCAAAAAATAAAAAAATTCACAGTTTCGGTTACCGCAACCGTTACGCTGCGGCCTTTACACCCCGCAATCACAACTGCGCCACTGCCACCGTTACGGCGACCACAACTACTTTTCAGAACCTTGACGATCGATGAAACACTTGTCCACCGCGATTATCACCTTTATTTCCAAATAACCTGCTAGACAGCTAATAAACTAAAATTTAAGTGATTAAGGCAGATCAAAATCCAAGCAAATCAAAATTCAAGCAGTATAACATTACTCGAGGATTAATATATCCTTAACAAACATCTTAACGACACTGGTTAACAAAACCTGTAAAAAATTTAAACCCAAACTTTGTGTTAACCTACAATTAATAACAAATGCCAAATTATCAACAAAAAATAAAAAATAAAAAATAAAAAATAATGAGGGATGTTCTGGTAACTTCATACAAAATACAAAAAAAAGTTAAAAAAGTAAGGCACAACCCATCCCCTGGATCCCCTACCCACCAAGGGCCACCTTCTCCACCCACCCACCATTAGTATTTTTTTTCTGTACCATTACCATACAACTACAACCCACATCCCACCCATTTCTCTCTCTCAAATTTCACAAATTGCCATCACGCTTAGTAGAATTCCTCTCACCCTCTCAGTCTCTGTCTCTAAAACAGAAAACAGAAAACAGAACAACCATGGGAGTGAGCAACAACATAACAGCATTCCTAAACTTCATAGCCCTCCTCTCCTCCATCCCCATAATCGCCTCCGGCATCTGGCTGGCCTCCAAACCCGACAACGAGTGCATCCACCTCCTCCGCTGGCCAATCCTCTTCCTCGGCCTCGCCATCCTCCTCGTCTCCCTCTCCGGTTTCGTCGGCGCTTACTGGAACAAACAACCCCTCCTCGCCTTCTACCTCCTCATCATGGCCCTCCTCATCTCCCTCCTCCTCATCCTCATCGTCCTCACCTTCATCCTCACTGCTCCCTCCTCCGATTACTCCGTCCCTGGCAGCGCATTTCGCGAGTACCACCTCTCCGGATTCTCACCCTGGTTGAGAGACCATGTTACCAATTCCGAGAATTGGGGGAACATTAGGGTTTGTCTTGGTGAGTCTAGTTTCTGTGCTAAGCTCAATGAGGATTATATCTCTGCTTATCAGTTCTTTGCTGCGCATATCTCTCCTCTTCAGGTCAGTCCTCCGTTGTTTTGTTTTTTTCTTGTGCCCTGTTTGCTTCGTTGCAAATTGCAATGAACAGTTTATTGCAGTGTCATTAATTATTCTTAGGTGCGGAGAGAATCACTTTCAAATACATTTCTTTTGAGTCTTGGATTTTTTATATTTTATTAATCGGGTGAATTACACTAATATTACCTATCCTTTGGACTTCTGTTATTTTGGTTCATGACTTTTCAATTGTGATATATTTGACCTTAAATTTTAAATCTTGTTCCAAAAAAAGATAATTGAAGATGTCATTAAATTTTTCAAGGGTAAAATCATCAATTTGATAAAATATAATCTAATTTGACAAAAATAAATGTCAAACAAATATTTTTGAAATTTTAAAAATTATTTCTACCCACTAAAAATAAAAATTATATAAAATTGATAAATCTTTTAGACATTTATTTATTTTTTTACCAAATTAATTTTTATTATGTGTTTGAATAATGATCATGTAAAATTAATTTTAAAAAATTAAACATGTAATTTTTATTAATTTTTATCAATTTTACATAATTTTATCACTGGTGGATAAAAATAATTTTTTAAAAATTAAAAATATTGACATTTATTTTTGTCAAATTAGTTTATATTTTATTAAATTGACGATTTTGCCCTTGAAATTAAACAATGGTATCTTCAATTATCCTTATTTGGAACAATATTCAAAATTTAGGGTCAAATGTGTCACAATTGAAAAGTCAGGGATCAAAATGACACAAGTCCCAAACTATAGGGACTATTTATGTAATTTGCCCTTATTATTCTTCAAATAAAGCACCAATAAATCTCAAAATATAATCTTATAAATTGTTGTCTTTCATTTCTTCTGAACTCAAAAGTTTCATTAAAGTGGAAATTACACAAAATAATACTCATTTACACATTTGGGCAATGTGAAATTATAGAGATTTTGGATTTTTTCTCATTTTGAAACAAATCTCACATTATGAATAACACTTCAATAATCTAACACTCAAATATAACGCACTAAAAATTTGTTAGTGTACTTTTTTAAACGTAACAACGTAATACTTTAAATTTTTTCCAAACGTAATAATGTAACACTTTAAACTTTTTCTAAACATAACACTCTAATATAGCATACAAAACAATTTTTTAGTGCATTTTTTCTAAACGTAACACTTCAATCAATATAATCTCAAACGTAACATTCCAATGTAACACACATAAAAATATTAAAAAACTACATAGTATATTTTTCTTATAATTTGAAATTATATATTTATCCAAAACTTTGTGTACTCTTTTTGGAATGGTTTGAAAAATCCCACACCCTTTTGAAATGGTTTGAAGAATCTCATATTTTTTTTAGAGTGTTATATTGGAGTATTACATTTGAAAAAAAGTATACTAAGCAATTTTTTTATGTATTACACTGGAGTGTTACACTAAGGGTTTGGAGTGTTACATTTGAATGGTACATTTGAGTGTTATAAGTTGAAATTATACATTTACTCAAAAGAACTAAGGAGTTTTTGTACTCATTTTGAAATATTTGAAGAATACTATATGTTTTTACAATAATTGAAAATTTTCATATTTCAAGTCATTTTTGTACTCATTTTGAAATGTTTGAAAAATCTTACATTACAAGTCATCCCAAATAAAAAAAGATTTTCATATAAAAATTCATCTCAAATTTGATTCTTATAGGTTGTGTATCTTACCTTTCTAGCACAAAAGAAAAAAAGAAGGAAATATAATAGAAATAAGGGTATAATTGTAAATTCAATTTTAAATAATATATTAAATCTACATTTTCAAAATCAATGGGACTAATTACTGTATAAAAAAACTATTGGGACTAATTAGGTCACCATTTCTCAGATGAGATTTATAGGTAAATTTTCTATATATATATATTCGACAGTGCTAGAGGCCTCGAATTCGGCTCGAATTTTTTATTTTTTTGGCACTGTGTTAATTAGTTTTTTTTTTTTTTGGTAGTTTTTTTTTAAAGGTGGTTACGTGTTGTGCCAAAAAATTAGACATCTTGAACCAACTCATCGTACAAAATTATATTAACAAAATTTAACCAATAGTTTAATTGATCGGTCAATTTTATTACTCAATTAGTCCAACCTAATTGATTGATCAGTTAGACTGCTGGTTAAAATTTATTAATTCAATATAATTTTGCACAATGAGTTGGTGCGGGATGTCTAATATTTTGACACACCCCTACACATAACCACCTTTAAAAAAAAAAAAAAAAAAAAAAAAAAAACAAATCAACATAGCCCAACAAAAAAAATATAAAAAAACCACAAGCCAACACATACAAACAAACAAATGAAAAAAAAAAAAAAAAAACTCAGCCTATGTGGTTTGACAAGATGAGTGAATTGGGTTGGACTGGTTGAGTGATAAACTCACCTTAAGAGCATCTCCAACGGTAACTCAAATTTTTCACCAAATCTGAGCAAAAAATGACCTATTTCACAAAATTTGATACCACTCACTCCAACGGTTCACCTTTCACCAAATCTATCCCGGGACAACCGGGTGGTCGACCGGCCGGTGTCTGTGTTAATTATTATTATAATGTTTTTTTTAAAAGGTGGTTATGTGTTGTGCCAAAAAATTAGACATCTTGAACCAACTCATTGTACAAAATTATATGAAATTAACAAAATTTCACCAATAGCTTAACTGATCAGTCAATTTTATCACTCAATTAGTCCAACCTAATTGATTGATTAGTTAGACTGCTGGTTAAAATTTATTAATTCAATATAATTTTGTACAATGAGTTAGTGCGGGATGTCTAATATTTTGACATACTCCTACACATAACCACCTTTAAAAAAAAAAAAAAACAAATCAATACAGCCCAACAAATAAAATAAAAAAAAAAACAACAAGCCAACACAGCCCAACAAACAGATGAAAAAAAAAAAAAAAAAAAACTCAGCTTATTGCAATGTCATTAATTATTCTTAGGTGCGGAGAGAATCACTTTCAAATACATTTCTTTTGAGTTTTGGATTTTTTATATTTTATTATTCGGATGAATTACAATAATAGTACTTATAGTTTGGGAAAAAAAAAAAAAAAAAAAAAAAAAAAAAAAAAAAGAATTCGAGGCAAATTCGAGGCCTCGAATTCGAGATCTCAAGCATTATTGATATATATTTGTCAAATTTAAAAAAAAAAAAAATTTCTTTGCAAATATTTTATTTTTTACATACATCTAAATTAAGTATATGTATAACTAAAAAATTTAAAAATTTTGACTAAAATATTTTTAAAAATTCACTAAATACAAAAAAAAAAACAAAAAAAAAAAAAAAAAAAAAAACTCAAAATGACAATTTTTTTTTATTTTATTTTACACTCACTTCTCTTGAGATTTTAAAAAATTCAGTTAATTGTATACTTTTGACATAATTATGCCATTCTTTTTTGAAGTTAAATTTTTTTTATCAATTATTTGTTAGTCAATGTTTTCTTTTTTTTTTTCCCTACTCAGATGTATATCTATCTTTATTTATTTTAGTGCCTATTCACCACATGTATTTGTTTCGGTTACTTTGATTTTACTAAAAGAAAAATTAATGTAATTATGTTAAAATGTAGGAGTCAATGTCAAAAATATTTACAATCTCAATTCACTTTTATATATTTTTATATTTTTTATAATCTATTTTTTTTTTAAAGACAAATGCTATAAAATAAAAAAATTACGTTCATCAAATCATATTACATTTTAATTTATTTTTATTTTTTTTATAATGAAAGACCTCAAAAAATGAACATTTCAAATTATTAAAAAATAAATCGTTGCAGGCCTCACAAGCCTGAGCACTAACCCTTGTTTACTAATAATGTCTTATGAACAAATTTTCAAGAATGAGGCTCCTTTACAGTGCACTAATTGGATTGTATGGTTCAGTTTACGAGTTCACTTTGAACCAATGTTCGTGATCCCAAAAAAAATTAAAAGAAAATCGCTAAGTCACAGCCCATGAATTGAATCTTCTAGTACATTAGAAAGAAGCTGATCCTTTTTTTTTAATAGTAAAAATTAAGAAGAATTTTGTAGGAGAAAAAAAATAGTAATGTTCTCTTGTAAAAAATAAGAAAAAATAAAATTAAAAGAAAATTTATACCTGGAAAAAATGTCTCAAGATTCTTCAAGATCCATTGTTTGTTGTCCTTGATTGAGGGTAGTTTTGCCATTTCACTTTCTGAACCAATATATCATCCACCAAACCATTACTCTTAAATTGCCTACGCATTTTGTTTCTCCTCTTGTTTGACATTTAAATTACATGGAACTTAAAATTTCATGTAATAATTGGAATTTTGAGAGAAATTGTAGGCCCACAATATCCATATGCTTGGTGTAATAACCAAGACAATCTTTAAGCTTTGAATTTAGGCTTAAAGATTGTAATAACCAAAGTGGGTCCTAAATAACCAAAAAATTTAGAAACTCAGTGGGTGGACCCAAAAACAAGTTTTTTTGAACTTAGTTTTTTTTGGGTCCATCCACCGAGTTTTTTTTGGTTATTACAAAAACAAGTTTCTTTGAATTTAGGACCCACTTTGAGCCTAAATTCATGAATTTAGCACAAGATCATGGATTTAACAAGTTTTTTTTTGGTCTTGTGCATCATGAATTTAGTTTAAAATTTAGAAAAGAAAGGAGAAATAAAAAAAAATAGACTTATATTTTATTCATATTTTCTTCCCCCTTAAATTTCTACTTAAATCCATGATTTTTTTAAAAAAAAAAAAAAAAAAACCTTTATGCCTCATAATCTATGATTTGTTAAATCTAATTGTTTCACTAACTTTGTAAGGTACAAAATTTGCATCATTATATAGTTTTAGAATTAGATAAATCAAATTGGTGGCTCAACGGATTTTTCGCAGCCTGCTAGTTGATCCATTTTAAGAGAATGTAACTATATCAAATTAATTAGTCTTTTTTCGCTAAGTAATTAATTAGACCTTTGCCGTGAGCCTGCTGGAACATTTACACACATATTGGGTTATTTGGTGCAATTTATCTACGATTGGCTTATGTTTTTTTAGTAGAAGTTTTTGTTAAACTAATTATTGCAATTTTTATTTATAACTTTTTAATTTATTAATTATCAACTTTTAATGTTTAAAAAAAAAATTGTATCAAACAGATCTATTGTTTCGGCAGTGGTTGAGTCGGTGTTTCTAGTTGTGACAGTAATAGCCAACATTATTATAAGTATTAATTTATTTTTTTTCGTATAGGAACATTATGTATTCTGGGCTCAGAAAAGTTTGCACCTAAAGTAATCAAAAACTAGAATAAATGAGATCATTGATACAATGTCTTTATTGAAGAAGATAAAAAGAATAATATTTTTGCCAGCCTTGACCTAATGACATACATGTAATGTGACATGGTGGTGTGACATAGTTTGGTGGTGCATCAATTGTGTTTCCCTTTTGCCTTTTTGTTCTCTTCCTTCCTGCTAATTGAGGTATATATGAAAAAATCTAGAGCATGCAGCCTTAAAAATGTACATATTGTAAGAAAATTATAAGTTTTTGTAATAAAAATTATGAATGTTCGTAGTGTGTGTTATGACACTTTATGATGAAGTTACGAATAGTGAATATATGGTGTGAATCCTAAAATTACAAATATTAGTGTAACACTTTGTGATTTTTATTAGGATATTTTGTAGTGAAAAAAGTTATGACATTTTGTGATTTATATTATGAAATTTTGTAAAATAGTTATGAAGGGCATATCATGTGCACACTCTTTTCGGGGTCAACATTATAGCCTTTGACATGAAGTATATATTAGTGGAACATTCTATAAAGAATTGCACTATAGATGAGAATTTTTTTAGTGTAAGTCTGATACACAAGAAAGAAAGAATTATACTGCATACAATAAGATTGTGTTTGAATTATTTGAATAGAGATTTGAAAAGAAAAAAGAAAAGACGAAGGAAATTAATAAAAGACTTGACTTATATTTCCTTCATATTTCTCTCACATTTTCTTTTCTCTCTCCAAATTTTTGTCCAAAATCATAACGCAAACACAACTTACAAGACTTGCACCAAACACATGACATATTTGCATCCCATATAAATGAGATTTATTTTGTTTTTCACTGTCCAACTAATATGAGATCTTCCCTTTGTTATTTGTGTGTACAGTCCTGACATATTTGTATCCCATATAAATGAGATTTTTTTTGTTTGTTTGTTTTGTTTTTCACTGTCCAACTGATATGAGACCTCCCCTTTGTTATTTTTGTTTACAGTCAGGATGTTGCAAGCCACCAACTATTTGTGGATACCAGTATGTGAATCCAACATTGTGGATAAACCCGGTTAACACAATTGCCGACCCAGATTGCACTCTCTGGAATAATGACCAGACCCAGTTGTGCTATAATTGTGATTCTTGCAAAGCTGGTCTACTTGGGAACCTCAGAAAGGAATGGAGGAGAGTGAATGTGGTCTTGATCATAGCAGTTGTGGTTCTAATCTGGGTTTATCTCTTCGCTTGCAGTGCTTTCAGGAATGTACAAACAGGAGACCACTTCAAATAAGGTTGGGTTTGATCTTTTCCTAAACACAATCCATTTCCCAAACAAGGTTTGTAACCATAATGTATTTTATGAGTTTTAATTTATCTTTCATGTGTATTCACGCAACAATTGCCATGTAATAAGTCCTACAATATCATACAGGAAATCGGGTAAAAAGTTTCGATGAAGTTTTTGGTGATATATACCAATCCCCAATTGGCTTTTGGGAATATATTCTCACTTTTGTATATAATCCCAATTTTATTTTTATTTTAATTTTTTTTAGAGCTCTGTTATGGACTAAAATTGAAGAAAAGTTGAACAGTACTTTTTCAGCTACATTTTCTATATATTCTTTTCGTTATGAAATGCATAAAGATAACATAGAATGGTAATAATAATCTACTTTTGAAGAAGTATTAGATTCTTCTAATTCAGTGGTCATTGAAAGTTATTAGATGCATGTCCATCCTTTTGCATTGCAACTGTTCAAATTGGGGTGGGGATATGATTTAGCCCATTTTGAGAGAGCACTCGTGAATTCTTACTTTCGCGAGTCCACTTAGATTCTTGTTGTTCTCCTAAAGAATATGGACTTTTGTATCATGTTAATCACACTGATTGTTAGCTTTATAGCTAGGTAGTAAATAGGTTGATTAAAACAGATCATGTATTTAAAACAAGGATAATGTTAGGGATACTAAAGAGAACTGTTGCAGACCCCAGTATCAATGACCTCTACCACCCCCACTTACACGTGGGGGGTAAAGAGAGAAGGAAAAAAAAAAAAATTCAACCAATCGGCACCCACTTGGGGGTGCTAGGGGTCTCCCCTCAGTGGGGGTCTCTCCCATTTTCCGGATACTAAATTTTCTACCAAACAAATAACATATAGGTATGAAATCCGCAATTTTGTGGACTCTATATACATTTGGTAATTTATTTGATAAAAAATTTGGGACCTATAACATTTTCCTTAAAACAATCCAATCTAAACATGGATTATGCATTTTCAACAACACAATCTAAACATGCCAATTTAATAAATTAGTTTAAATGACTTGGGTTGAATTAGATACAAATTGGACAAATGAACCCAAGAATTTATTTACTTTATTAATTTTTTTTTCCACCCCTCCAATAGATGGCAGCTGTGGTGGTGGAGTGGTAGCAATAAAGGTGTTCGGGCAGCAATTGTGGTAGTGGGGGTGCTGGACTGGCGGCAGTGGAGGTGGTGAAGTGATTCTCATGCCTAATCCATTGAAATTTAATATTAATTGAGTAGGTAAGTAGTAACCCATTTAACCCAATTTATAAATTTAAATGGATTTAAGCAATTTTTAAATTAATATAATTGGACGAATTTATCATTCAGATTTAATTTGGCACCCATTAAAAAAAACTATACAGTATTTCTCAAAAGCTTATAAGATTGTACATTTCAAGGTGTATAGAATTTGTGAAGAGATTTCATATCCACAGGCCCTGACCTCACCGACAGTGTAGCAAACATTTTAATATATGCTTCTAAGATCTAACATTATTAAAATCAATAACAAAAAAGCAAAACAATTAAGTAATTAATTACTATAAGAGATCCTATTGGAAGTCTCGTGCACCAAATAAGCAACTTTTTAGCAATCTCTAACCAACTTTCCGAGTTTTTTTTTTAAAAAAAAATCAAAAATAGAAAGTCTTTAGTTTGGTTAAAAAAAATTCTTCATAAAAAATATAACTTTCTTGTTCAAAACAAGGGACAATCAAGCATAAAAGGAAGAATGAGACCTCAAATAAGAAAATTCCCCCATGTTTGGTTTATGAAGTTAGGTAGAAATTTGAAAAAAGAAATAGAAAAAGGTGGATGCAATATACGTTATATAAATGTCTTATGATTGTAATTATTCTCCTATCTACTATAATAAAATAAATAAATAAATAAATAAAAAAAAGATGGATAACCTTTGGCCCATATGCAAATAAATACACAATTGAAAAAATACACATTGGAAATTTCAAAATTTTAAATATTAGTAACTCAAACTAACCACTTCCTGAAAACATATGGCCACCATACTTAGTGCTACTCTCTTCAGGCTGTGGCTGCTAATTTTTTAGAATACACAATGGCCATGTTTGATTCACAACACTAATAGTGAGGTATTAATAATCCTATTAAATTAGTGTGGTATTAGTTATCCCACCCCTACCCCATTACTAATAATCCTACAAATTTGTTAGATTAATTATCCATTGGATTAATAATCCTAAACTAAAATGTCAAAACAAACATAGGATGATTGGGCCCACGGATTAATAATCCCAATCCTATGCTTTAATCCTTCCAATCAAACATGCCAAATGTACATTGGATCTGAACGTCCTGGATTCGGAGATAAATCCACAGCCTGCACACAAATTATCAAATACATATGAGAGAGTTTGACACTTGCTTAACTCAAAAATCAGCCTATCACAAAATTTATTCGTACCATAGAAATGGTGTTGGATGATAAAAAGAAAAGAAGAGAGATCCAAATGTGGAGCAACAGGTTTTCAAGGATTTTTAATCTCCATTTGGTATGCTAAAACTGTAGACAGAAGTGTTTCAAAACCCCAACAGAGTTGCCCTCTTCAACCGGTAACTGTAACTATGTTCTTTGAGCATGCATACAATAACAATCTAATTAACTTTAACAGGTCTCTCTCTCTCTCTCTCTCTCTCTAAAAACCTCCACCCCGGGACTCACTTTTGGCCGGCCGACCGCCGCCTTTGGCTATGGCGGTCGGCTGGCCCAGCTCTCTTTCGTGTTTGTGTGCTGGTTTCTGCTTTCAATAAACTTGATTCCCACAATTTCTTTCCACTTTGGTGTCCTTTTTTTGTTTCATCAGGGGGTGCTTCGGTTTGTTTATTTTGTATCATCAGGAGGTTGTTTATTTTGTTGTCTGTTTTTGTCTCAACCTTGAGGTTGCATGTTTTGTTTCAACTGGGGGTGCTTGGTTTAAGTGTCAGAACAGAGTAGGAGGAGGTCAGTTTTGGACCGGAATAGAGGATGGTCAGATCTGGTTGGATCTTCATTCGGGCGCTCTTTTGCGGGGGGGTTGTTTGAGGGATGAGCTCGGTTTCGGATCTATGGAGTTGCTTCGGTGCTTTGTTTGGAGGGAACAAGGGTATTGTAGTTGATCCAGATCTGTCTAAGATTTCATTCGAGCGCTCCTTTTCGAGTGGAAGTTTGAGGGGTGAACTTCATCCAAATGTATGGTGATGTCTCGGCGGTTGTTCGATGTTTTGGATTGTCAACACCGGGGCTTTTGCAGTGGGCATGTTCGGAGTTTGGAGCCGGAAAGCTGTGTCCGACCATGGAAGTGGAGACGACAGTGGGTCTTGGTCGGCTGTGGTGATGGTTGTGAGTCTTGATCATCCTTGGGTGTGTTCGGTTGCTAGGAGTGCTCGGTCCCGACCATGGAAGTGGAGCTGGGTGTGGAGTTTCTCCAGCCTTGGAGCTATTGGCTATGGAGTTTTCCGGCCAAGGAACTGTCTCAGTAGAGTGTTGTCAGGTGTGGGCTGCTGAAAAGCTTTGGTTTGGGTGGTGCAGAGTGCTTTTCATGCCTTGGTAAAGTGTTGTCAGGTGGGCTGTTGAAAAGATTTGGTTTTGGTGGCGTGGTTCTTGGTTTTGGTGGGCAGCAGAATGGGTGAATAAAATATTCGGGTTGATTAGTAGTGTGTGGTTTGTTATTAAGAGGAGTTAGCTGCTTAGGTGTTGTTAAGAGGAGTGTATTTTTGGGTTGTGTGGGTTGTTTTTGTGGGGATTTATGTATTTTATTTTATTTTTTATTTTTAGTTAAGTCCTTAAATTTTTTTGTTTAAAAGAAAAAATCGTGAGGCCAAGGGGTTGGTTGTATGGGTGTAAGTAGCAGTAGTAGGGTATTTTGTACTTTCCGAATCTCTCTCGATGCATGTCATCTTCCTGTACCTTTAATTTCATGCTGGTAATGAAATTTTTCTTTGCTGATAAAAAAATATGTTCTTTGAGCATGCATAACACACAGCCAGTGTGCTGTGATTCTTCCAATCATGTGATCAACCCTACTTCTACTTCATACCATACTAAGGGAAAAATCTCAGGTCTGCTCTTCCATGTACGCATATATGTATGTTAGTGCACACCCAACACGCACATAGACACACATGTTAGGAGTTATACACCAAATCAAGATTGGTGAGACAAAAAACACAAACAAGAATAAAAACAAAAATCTAAATCCAGAATACAAAAACACAAAGACTTACATGGTTCACCTCAGAATATAGCTACATCCAATGTCGTTGTAGTTTCACTATGATATGAAAGAGTTACAATACAATACAAAGAGATGCAACATTTCAACAACAAATTCATAGTATTGGGGCAACATGGTAGAACAATGAGCTACCAAAAATACCAATACTCCAAAATTTAGGTGGTTAGTACTTATTAGGATCCACACTACCCAACAACACCACAAAGTTAATGAAATGCCCTCATATTGTAATGAAAGAGCAAATAGTGAACTGTTGACGGTTCTGATGTTGTCATGTCTATGTTGACTTGGGAAAAGGGAGGATAAAAATGTCTCCTTCCCATTCACGTGCCAACATCAAGCTATTGTTGAAAAGGAGTAAGTATTTACTTATAAGACAGAACATTTGCTGTGCAGTTGAACAAATTTGAGATGTTTGTTACCTGAGCAGGTTCAAACCCTCCAGCATAATGGAAATATGATCCGACAATCAAAACATGACCAGCATCAGTGGTCATTGTCCATATTGAGATTGCTTTTGTCCAGAAGCAGCGGTTGGATAAGCTGATTTACAAACACAATATGTGAAATTCACATAAAAGATGTACAAAAATAAAACAACATGAATTACCAATAGCACTCTGTTCCCTTACTCCTTGGCTTCATCAGTAGTACGTTTGACCAGATTGTTTTGAGATCAAAGGTCAAAATGTTCAAAAAACTAGCATGTTTTTGAACTTGACATATTGCTTGGTGTTAATGTCCATCCATGTTAAGAAATTGTTACTGGTAGGAAAGAAAGCTGGAAGTGGTTGGAGAGTTAAACCTTGCCAAACTCTTCAAGGTTTCAAGGAACATTATAAAAAGATGAGTTAAATATATATATTTTTTTAATTACTTTTCTTTTTAAACTTATTTCAAAATGCACAAATCATCACCTAATTATAGCAAGGCCACCAGGCTTAAGAATCCGGCACATCTCCTTGAAAACATCAATAGGCTTTGTCAGGTAGTCAACACTAACCTACAAGATGCAAAGAAATCAAATGTATACCATAGCATTACACTGGGTGGTAATTTGGGCCATATGTGTCTGTCTTCATAATTCCTAAAAGAAAATTTAGAAACTGCAAATTGAGATTGCCCTTCAAACTATTATTATAATAGAAAGAAGAAATATATAAAAAAATTAAAAAGAAAGAAAGAGAAAAGATTGCCTAACCAGCTATGATTTCTGTGACTGACGACCATCACTCCCCCCACCCCCTTCTCTTCTTCTCCCTTCTTTCTTCGAAACTTTCACAGCATGAGCCATATCAAGATTTTTATGAAGCTTATCAAGGGAAGCATTTGATCTTTCACTTAAGTCGGATTAACATAGAAACGGAAGCTTCGATTCCTAGACTAGGAGATGTTATGTGGCTTCCCTTGATCCCATTTCCATTCTTTCCACCCTCAACCTCTATCAATCAAGATCAACCCCATAACACCAAACGAAGAGATCACTTGTAATACAGTAAGCCCATATTCTGGCCGTTTCTTGTTCATTTACAGTGCTCCAAGCAGTTTAAGTAACAACCACGTTGGTGGACTAGATGACTTTTTTTTGTTGCATTTAGAGATTACCAGCATGATGGGTCATAGGTCTTTTAAAATTCAAACTGTAGTTTTCATATTTAATATTAAAAATTTTATCAAATCATTACCAAATTATAATCATTGTATTCCATAACTTCGAATAAGATAGATTTAATAGTTGGGATTTGGATATCATTAATGAATATATGCTTTTATAGAGGCCCAGGCCCCAATTGATTACTATGTAAGGATTACTCTCCAACCATTGCTCATAAATGGAAACTCACTGAACTGTCGATATACAAGTATTGAAATTGCAATTTCAAATAGATATCACATGAAAACAAGCAAAGAAAGCAGATATTCATTTTGGGGCAAACAAAAAAGGAAATGATGTACTTACAACGTTTGTAATAACATCAAAGGAATTATCTTCAAAGGGAAGTTTAGGGTTAACATTTAAGTCTTGAACAACATATTCGGTCAAAACCTACAAATAATCAAATAAAAAATTATGAGTTTCTTCATCTGAACAATACAAAAATACCATGAGCATGTGCAATGCAGGTTTGGTTACACCTTTGGTGGTCAAAAAAGAAGGTATGACATAACACAAAATTATTAATAGCATTTATAATTTAAGAATACCTATGTCTGTTAACACCTACATATCCATATCATAATTGTTTCTTGTGTACAGATGAAGCATCACCTTTCAATTCATACTGATAAACTACTTTCCAGGTATAAGAAGCAAGATTTTTACTTTTGAGGGGCTTGGTTTCTCTTCTTACCATGTGGAGTGTGAGTGGTCCACATGACCCCCCTTTTTTTTGTTATCAATCAATAGGATATATAAAAATATGAGAAGAGAATTACATCAAACGGACAATCATAGTCCAACAACTAATACCAACCCAATACTAACCACCAACATAAGAAAGAGCCCATAATGGGAGGAAATAAACCACATAAAACAAAGCCCCCATAATGAGGGGAGAAATAATCAATCTTTGCCTTGGCAAGGACCCCTGACCTCCCAGTTAGGGCTTGGTTTCTCTTCTTACCACGTGGTGTGAGTGGTTCGCATGACCTCATGAGGGTGATGTGAAGATGTCATGGAGACAACTGTGATTGGGTGGGTCCATGTATCTACACATTTTATTAGTGAACTTTTCATAACTAAGAACGATCATAAAAGAGGAGCAATAGTCAAGGACAATGCGATGGTTGCAACTATGATAAATCAACCTTCCCTATTACCAAATTCACATCCAAATGTTTGTACATAGACTACTCATTTTGATATGTGCACACTAAAAACTGACATTAAGGATTATTGGAATGATATAACAAGCATGATCTCACTTGATTCCGTTTAAGCTCTTCTTCATTCATACCCATTCCTACTATCCGGTCTTGCTTGTATCCTGCTGGGAAATGACTGACCTAGATAAAGTACAAGAATGGGGTTATGATACTATAAAAAAAAAAGTCAACAACATAAAACCAGAATGATGCAAACATCACAAATGTCTTACCCAACTGCTACACATGTCAAGGATAGTTACTCCTGGAGTTTCACTAGGAGGAAAAACCTCTGAATAATACTTAGTAAGAGCAACAATGGCTGGATCATCAATATGTGTCACAAAGCGTGGAGATTCATAGAATGATTTATCTGGTGACCTGGAAAAATCATATATAATGTTGTAGCCTTGTAGAATGAAAAACTAACTCAAATCATTTAGCCGAAAAACAGCACGCAGATTCAATTTAAAGCGAACAGCTCGAATAAAACAACTTATATTGACAAGAATTATTTTAAATTTAAACCATTGTGACAGTTTTCTAATGAAATATCACTACTCAAACTGAAATTCTAGCATACATGGCATGAAATTGTATTAGGTGAGATTTACCATGATAAATAAAAGTGGAAGAATACAACATACAAAAGGGACATACTTATATCGGTTCAAATATATAAGATACCATAAATGAAACATTTCAATTGTTTTAACAAACCAATGCTTGTTAATGGACATACCATTAAAACTTGTTATCTGTGGACGTGGAACATGATCATGATGCAGTCTCTAATTCGTCAAGATCAGGAATTGAAATTCTTGTAGTTAAACTTGTTCAAAAAATTTAGTGAAGTGATGGTGTGTTAGTTATGCAATAGTGTCATTGAAAACCTTTTCAAAAGAGGGAAAAAGCTAACAAGGAATACAAATGCTAGAAAGAAATTAGTTCAGAGCTTGTACTCGTCAGCGCGTTGAAAATCCACTTCCTTGAATGGAAATTGTTCTGGCCATTCCACATTCTTCAACACCTTAAAAATTGATGAAATTAAAGAAGTTCAATAACAAGTGACCACAATAATGAATCAGAAAGAAGTTGGGCCACTAAAAGATTTAGTGGCGTGAAACAAAATAATCTGAAATCTAATTGGTATGATAAAATATAAAATTGGATCACAAATTCTAAATTCCAACTGATTATTGGCATGAAAATCTCAAGTTAGTCGATGTATTCTCCTATTTTGCTTCCATCAGGGGAGAAACTCAAATTTTATCATTACAAATACCATTTGAAAGTTGTAACTGGCATCCCCAAATCCTGACATCAGGAGTAAACAACACATCAAATTCCAAATCCAAAAACATGGAATTTGTTTTTCTTTTGCTTTGTCATCGACCCATTATCATAAACCTCAAAATTTGATAAACACAGCAGGTAAACACAGTTAATCAAATTCAACAAACCCCAGCAAGGATGTAAAAATTGATGCCGTTCACTTGTTATATAGTGAATTGAAGTCATCTGGAATGTGTTGTCAGTGGGAGAACATATTCGTACGGCTGCAGTCAGATTGGTGACAAAAACGTGCACACGTATGGCCAAGTCATAATCAGACGTCGATCTATGAGGTAATTTCATAGATGAAAGTTGGCATGAGGCAAAATTTTGGTACCGAGGTAAACATGCTCAACTTAGGATTTTTCACCTCATTATAATGTGATGAAGTGGGAGATGTTAGATTTAGTGTGACCACATCATAATGTGGTGTACCTCTCCATACTTGATCATTTCTAATTAACAGGTGTATATCTTCCTGCAAGATAACGGAATGATCTGGTAAAGTTGAATTTGAACTCAATGGATGCATTGTTTCCAAAGGTTGTGACCTTTAGCAAATAGGTGCCATTGTGGTTATAAATACATTGGCAGAATGTTTTCTTCTTACTCATTCAAAACCATTGGACATCCAGATTATTCAAGACCAAACTTGGTTTCTGGATTACTCCGTCTTGCGTGATAAACACCCTCACGGGAAAGGAAGTTCAGATTACAGAAAAAGAAAATAGAACAAATACTACAGATAGAATAAGATCTAGTTTCTTAGTACACTAACTCCAGTCATATCCTCTATGACCAGATTCTTCACCTCTTCAGGAGGGTCCTCAAGCAATACTACATGTTCACTTTGCTCCACACCTAGGTTTGCAAGCTTATCAACACATATGTTGCCCTCCCTTGGTGTATGTCGCAGAAGGTAATCACATCTTTTCAGAAGGAACCTTGCATCTTCTATCAGAGCTTTGTATGGAGAATTGGTATTTGGACCATTCTGTATTTGATTTATTGCAAGTTCAGAGTCAGATTCAATTTCTACTCTTTTCATGCCTTTTTGAAATAAGATAGTGAGGCCTCTATATATAGCCCGCAATTCAGCTTCAAGGCTTGAACAATGGCCCAACTTTCCATAATAGCCCCAAATCCATATGCCAGTTTCGTCCCGCAACAGCCCCCCATATCCAGCTTGCCCCGGATCGCCTTTAGAGCAGCCATCAACATTCAGTTTAATCTTACCTGCAGAGGGACCAAGCCAATGTATTAGTCGAGGCTGATAAGGCCTGGGGTAGAGCCCAGACTGGTAAGCTTCATCAATCTCATGAGCATAATTTCTTATGCTCTTGAGACTGACTTGAATGGAGGAATTTAGATTTTCAAACACAAGTTTATTACGATCTGTCCAGATTTGCCAAAGGGTAGTAATAAACACAATTTGCCATTTTGTTCCAAAAAACTCACTGGTATTTTTTAAATTAAAAGTAATCCATTCAAGTAGGGGCCTACCACAGCCATTCTCCCACCAGGTGATATCTTTAATTTCAGTCCAAATACTTTTGGATGTGATGCACTCTCTGAGGAGGTGGTTCAAATCTTCACTACTTAAACCACAACGAGGGCATAACTCAGATGTGGTCATGTTCCTCACAAGCCTCATGTGGTTAGTAAGCAACTTTCCCTTAAGAATGATCCAGATAAAGCATTTTAATTTCTGAGGGACCCTGATTTTCCAGAGCCATTTCCAATCCCTGCCATCCCCATCCTGGCCTGCAATGATCTTATACGCAGATAAGGTAGTGAAGTTGCCACTGTTGGAACCAACCTAAACAGGTGCATCTATGTAAGTGACAAATCTGGGCCTGTAAACTTTGAGTATTTCCTGGACATCTTAAGGATTTAACAGATTTTCCAAGGCAGCAATGTCCCAATTGCCCTCATCATCTAGGACTAAGTTAACTTTTTGGAGACCATTATCTTGTTGGGAAATGTAAGTTGTAGCTAATGGTTGATTACCACACCACCAGCCACACCACAAGGATATATTCTCACCATTACCCACATTCCATTTGACTCTTTTCTTCAAATTATCTCTATTTTTACATATACTCTTCCAAACATGAGATGATCTCTTTTGAAGAGGCCAATTAAAAAATGTATTCTTCCGCAGATACTTGGAGTGAAGCACTTTACACCATAATTTGTTCTTATCACGCAGCATGTTCCACCCAAGTTTAGTCAATAATGCTGTATTATGTTCCCTAGCTTTTTTTATTCCCAACCCCCCTTCTGCCTTGCTTCTACGACGATAAGGTTGATACATGTAGGCACCATTACCAGAAATTTCACCACCCAGTGATTATTTAAATGGTAATAACTCGAATTTTCTCATAAAATAATGCTCATGATGTATGTTTCTTGATTTATTTTTAAATTAAATTAAATTAAACCATACTTACTCTTAAATTCTCTGCACTGGTGAAGCACGAGAAATGTACTTGGTTATATTTTGATGGAATAAAGAGTGGCCACACCATAATGTGGTGTGACTCACTTCACTCAATCTTCTCTCTTGAAATTCTAAAGAACCGTCCCGCAAGAAAACGGATTGATCTGATAAGTTGAATTTGAACTCAATGGATGCATTGTTTCCAAAGGTTGTGACCTTTAGCAAATAGGTGCCATTGTGGTTATAAATACATTGGCAGAATGTTTTCTTCATATACATTCAAAACCATTGCACATCCAGATTATTCAAGACCAAACTTGGTTTTCGGATTACTCCGTCTTGCGTGATAAACACCCTCACGGGAACTTCGATCCATTGCCATTGTTGGATTATCTTTTAGTGGTATTAGAGCAGGTTTAACTGTAAACGCAAGTGTTGAATTTCCGATTGGAAGAAAGAAAATTTTCATAAACTCTTTTTTATGGAAATTCAGAGCACCGTAAGCATTTGGTTTGGTAACTTCAATTTATTATAAACCCAAATGTTTTTCCAAATATAATGACATCTAGACAATAACTTTTCTTATGAAAAACTACTGAAATTTTGTTCCTACAAAACCTGTTATTTTTCTTTGGTCATTCAACCCGTCGCCAGAGGAGAAGGCAACCGTAATAATACTGTTGCTGTTTTTGAGTTTGAAATATAAAAGCTATGTTATGTTTGTTTTTGGGCTAGATCAAAAGAAATAAATTAAAGGCCCAATCCAACATAATACAATACATTTTTGAGTTTGAAATATAAAAGCTCTGTTATGTTTGTTCTTGGGCTAGATCAAAAGAAATAAATTAAAGGCCCAATCCAACATAATACAATACATTTTATTATTATTGTTATTTTTTATTTTATTTTATTAATATAATAATAAATAACATAATAACCTTGGATCCTCAATTATATATATATATATATATATATATTTTAATTATTATTTTCATAGTAACACATTTTGTTTTTAATATGGCTATTAAAAATACCATGGATTCTTCAAGAATCGAGATGCTTAATGGAAATAATTTCCGAGCATGGAAAAGCCACATTTCTTATCTTCTTATACATGAGAAAACATTGCATATTTTATCCACTTCTAAACCAGATGATGATTCTAATTGGTTCCAAAATAAATGGATAGAAGATGATGCAATGGCAAAGGCAATTATGTTACATAATATGAAAGATAACATTATTCCGCTTTTTGAAGAACATGAAACAGCAAGACAACTAATGGAAGCACTAGAAAGTAAGTATGGAGTTCGATTGAATACTCAAATTCAATTGCTCTTGGACAAATATAATAAGACTCGTATGAGTGATAATGATAGTGTTGGTGATCATGTTAATCAAATGGAATTAATTGCTAAAGAATTATCCAACGCTAGTCACTCTTTGTCAGACAAGATGCAAGTAACTACCATACTTAATAGTATTCCATTGTCTTGGGATCATGTTATCACGTCTCTAACTCATAGTGGACGAGAGATTTCAATGGTAACATTGCCTGTACTCTTAGTTTTGGAAGAAGAAAGAATGAAGTGCAGGCGTAAAGAAGGATTATCTTTTAACTTGTTGATGGCAAAATCTTCACCACAACCACAGAATAATACTCATACACCATTTAACAAGAATAAGACGACTTTTTTCAAGGAAAAAATGGAAGAAGGGATTTCAAAAAGAATGGAAGAAACCGCAAGAATGACAAAAGCAACAACATCACAAGCATCAGATAGGTCTATGTTACAAGTGCGGTCAAAAAGGTCATATCAAAGCCAATTGCCCTCAGAAGAAGCAGACAAAGAATAATAATCATGTTGCCATGACAATTTCTGAAGCAATGGTGCTTGAGCCTTCATCAAATTCATA